GGGGTGCTGTGCAGGAGGGCACCACGCATGCCAGGGCATCTCCTGGCCCACTGTGGGGCTGTGAGGGAGCCATGGGTCCAGCTCCACGGAGCCCCTCCTGCTCTGGCGAGTGGCCAGACATGGCAGGGATGAGGGCCAAATCCTGCCCTGGGTCACATGGGTGACATCCCATTCCACTGCAGGGTGGGTACCAGCCCTAGCACACCTCTACCTCCCTCAGCGGGACTTTGGGTTCAAACCTGGCAGCTCCCAGAGGACACGGACGGCACTGGGATGCTGCGGCTGCCAGGGGCTTCATGCCATGCTGGGCCCTGGGGCAGAGGGGACAGCCACCAAGCAGCCATGGGGGCAGGTGGCGCGGCACCCCGGGGCTTGGCCACCCTGCATCCCCGCTGGCCAGGCCTGCTGTCCCCTATGTGGTGGGGTGGCATCGCCCTGGGGTGGTCTCGTCCCCAACTCTGCTGAGGGCTTCTGCTTGGGGGTCTTCCCCCAAAAAAGCCTATCCCAGAGGGCGAAGGCAGCAGAGGACTGGGTCCCCTCACCTGCCCTCTGTCCCTGCCACCTTTGGCCGCCCACCCTGCAGCCCCCACCCCTCTCTGCACAGCCCTATCCCTTTCAGGTTGAGTTGTCTTGGGGAGGAGGAAGCAGAGGAGCCAGGACTGGGGGAGAAGGAGCTGAAGGAGGCGAGCCGGGGGAGAGGAGCAAGAAGAGGTGTGGGGGGGTGGGAGGAAGAGCAGGGTATCAAACTAGCTACGAAAAACCTCGTGGACTGAAAACAGCAGTTTCATACGAGATCAGCTCTTGAACGATATCGAACTGGGTTTGGGAGTGATGCACAGGGAGGGAGTGGGGGATTGTCGTGACAAAGCTCTCATGGACAGAACAAGACATGTTGCTTTCAAATAAAGGGGGAACTGGAGGAGAGGAGGAGGAGGGAGGAAGGGCGAGTCAGTGGCGGTTTGCAGGTTTGGCGTGGCAAACGGGCAGGGAGATGGGCAAGCAGGGGGGCTCAGGGGGGACTGGACACGGGGCAGGGGACAGGGTGGTGAAGGTGAGTGGTCTGAGACTGAAAATACTTGCCCTTCATTTTGATGTTTGGTACTGTGTGAATCCACCATAGAGAGAAAGCAAGAAAAACAACAAACAAAAAAACAACAAACAAAAAAAAAGGGGGTTGGGTGGAAAGGGGGAAGGGGGGCACAAACAATATTTTATTCAATCAATGTTTGAATAAAAATATTGTGTATCATAATCATACCAAAAGGAAACCTCTTGCAAAAAACGACATGAAAAAAAGAAAAAGAAAGAAAAACCCAGTAACGAAAGGAAAAGGCCACGGTGAAATAAGAATAAAAAAAAATTCAAAGATATAACTACAGAAATATATATATATATTCAATACTCCAAAGGAAAATGAGAGTCAGTAGCAAACAGTTGCAACAGTCTTGATATTGAAATGTCCTCACTGAGTTAGGGGGCATGCACGGCACGGTGAGCAGAGTCGGGGAGGATGGGGGGATCCCCCCTCCCGGGGATGGGGACAGCCTGGCCTAGTCCCCGCAGGGATGCGGGGCTCCTGCCAATGGATGGAGGCGGGGC